AACCTTCAACAGTCGATGGCATTCCGCAGTCGAAGCAATTAAGTTCATGACAGGAGCATCGGCGAACAAAAGACTTTTTGAGATATCAGCAAGTTCACAACCAAGCATACGAAATTTTTGTACTCCAAAGCACTGTTCACCAGATGTCCGAGTTCCTTCTTGCATTTCTTCTTCATCCCCGTTTTCGTCGTCATTACCGTCATCAGAACTTTCCAGAGCTACGTGATTGAAAACACTTTTTAATCACCAGCTAAGTCACTTAAGACAACAGTGAATAAAGTAACAATGTATCATTTCAAGAGGGCCAAAATACGACATAAGAAAGTCTACCTCGAAATCTTGTTACAACATGACATTAATATGCCACGTTCGATATGTCAAAATTCCAAAATGGCTCCGAGGCTTTCAGGACAAAGTTCCATTTCTTTAAAGTTTCCTTTGTCCCTCAGTTCCCAAAAGAGACTTAGATACAAAAAAAAGACCAAATATAGAAGTTTGTCCTGAAAGCCTCGGAGCCACGTTAGAATATTGATATATCGAACGTGGTCTTTTAAGGAACTGCTTTCGATAATTTCGTTGGCGTCAATAGTCTCAATTTACAACTTGATAAAGTCAACTGCATATAACAGTAAGGAGATTCCTTAACAGCAAGTCAGCTGCATCTACCGTCGTGTTTATCATCTACATCTTCGTCATCGTCATCGTCATCGTCTGTATCATCATCCATGGTACTACCATAATCAGGCGTTTCTTCCAAACTTCCAGTGCTTGAGAAATCCGGCGTTGAAATATCAGTGAGAGCTTTCATCAAACTGCCTCCTAAGTCATCTACACTGCTAGAAAAACGAGAAACAAATCCAATGTTTTTGCTGTTTATCATGACTTGCCAATAACTGACACTATCTTCACTACTATCATTCCTGGCGTTTTCAAGCTCGTTTGGCTAAAAAAAAATACGGCTCAAGAGCAGCCATAACCCAGATAGGTGGTTAAAAGGCTTGTCGGAAGCCATTTGGACAAAATCTCTTGGACGGAAGGACGTCACGAAAACGCGGCCTGGCTGCTGAGTATTGTTCAAAATGACGGTAACGATGTCGAGTTTTTGGGCTTCTTTGGAGACGAATTTCATAGGGAAAACCCGCACTTTCGAGACTGAAACTTAGTTGAGTGGCTAAAACTTAGTGCCAGGTTTTTCTTAGCATTGACAAAAAATATACGTTGTTTGGAGTGACCTTGTCCTTTAAAAAGGCATTAAAAAGTTCCAGCTTAAGACACTGGAACAACAAAAGGAAATTACGGGTACATGTATTAAAGTGACTGTGTACCAAATGCTATTTTAACTAACCACTTAGATTCGATGGCTCTCTGGAGGTGTCCCCACAGAGCACACACCATGCTGGACTGCATAGCAAACATTTCATGAAAGCCGGTACTTTGAATCATCACCATGGAGATATCAATCATAGTGATACACCTAAAACATAAACAATATCCAATAATTGCACGCTTTGAGCATAAACATGGCGTATTCTTAAGTAGGCGACAGCTGACACCTTTCAGTGTGCTCGTTACTGCACGTGTAGTGTTCTGATTGGTTAAAACGAACGGGAGAGTCTTCGGCACTTCGGTGGTTTTTTTGACATTTTACCTCAAAAAGAGAGGGGAGGGGAGAGGATGGGGAGTGGATACGACATGAAACCAGGTTCTAAGGTATGAACGTGCGATCTTTCGCTCTCAGGTGGAAAAACTGTCGACGAACTATTTTAGTCTCCTCTCTCNATCCGGCGTTGAAATATCAGTGAGAGCTTTCATCAACCTGCCTCCTAAACCATCTACACTGCTAAAAAAAAAACGAGAAACAAATCCAATATTTTTGCTGTTTATCATGACTTGCCAATAGCTGACACGATCTGCATTACTATCATTCTCGGCGTTTTCGAGCTCGTTTGGCTAAAAAAAATACGGCTCAAGAGCAGCCATAACCCAAAGAGGAAGTTAAAAGGCTTGTCGGAAGCCATTTGGACAAAATCTCTTGGACAAAAGGACGTCACGAAAACGCGGCCTGGCTGCTGATTATTGTTCAAAATGGCGGCAACGATGTCGAGTTTTTGGGCTTCTTTGGAGACGAATTTCATAAGGAAAACCCGCACTTTCGAGGCTGAAACTTAGTTGAGTGGCTAAACTTAGTGCCAGGTTTTTCTTAGCATTGACAAAAAATATACGTTTTTTGGAGTGACCTTGTCCTTTAAAAAGGCATTAAAAAGTTCCAGCTTGAGACACCAGAACAACAAAAGGAAATTACGGGTACATGTATTAAATGTGACTGTGTACCAAATGCTATTTTAACTAACCATTTAGACTCGATAGCTCTCTGGAGGTGTCCCCACAGAGCACACACCGTGCTGGACTGCATAGCAAGCACTTCATGAAAGCCGGTACTTTGAATCATCACCATGGAGATATCAATCATAGTGATACACCTAAAACATACACAATATCCAATGATTGTACGTTTTGAGCGTAAACATGGCGTATTCTTAAGTGGGCGACAGCTGACACCTTTCAGTGTGCTCGTTACTACACGTGAAGTGTTCTGATTGGTTGAAACGAACGGGAGAGTCTTCGGCACTTCGGTGGCTTTTTGACGTTTTACCTCAAAAAGAGAGGGGAGGGGAGAGGATGGGGAGTGGATATGGCATGAAACCAGGTTCTTAGGTATGAACGTGCGATCTTTCGCTCTCAGGTGGAAAAACTGTCGACGAACTATTTTAGTCTCCTCTCTCATCGCTTTGATAATGAAATAACATTGTAAAAGGAAATTACAAGTTGATCACTCCCCAAAGAGCTCATCACATTTAGACTAACATACCCTGGTTGTGCGTTTCCATNACACAGTGGAATATTGAATAAGAATTGCAGGCAAATTGTCCCTCTAAACTTCATTGACATGGAAAATAAAAAGTAATAGGAAATAGCAGTCGCACGCTAGCAATAGGGTGCATCGCCATAGTCAGCTATAATGCGGTAAATTAACGAAATTATTTCTCACATACCTTGAGGTAGCAAAGCCTTCCTCTGTCTTTACTAAGAACAGAGATCAACTTCTCGTTTGCCTTTGCAGGAACAAAGTCGCTTATCTCCTCAATCCACATAATTGATGGTAATATCTTGGTTGTTTCGCTGTCGTCTTCGACAATATTAAACTTCTTCAGAAACAATTCTAACTCTCCTAAGGCGTGTTGCAATATCAAGATAGAGAAGCAGGCTGATTCTTGTTCCTTCAAAAGATATCAAACAATTCGTTATTGAACATTTTTCAAAACAGTCAGTGAACTACGTTGTGCTGTTTCTAGCAAAGTGGTTGAACTGTTGTGGGCTTATAACCCCATCTCGTAAAACACAGCTGATACGGAACTTAACGAGTGTTTTCTCGGGAGTGACACATCTAGAAAATGAGTTAGACACTCTGCATCTGGATTGGGACAAAGAAAGGGCCGCGTTAGGTTTCAAAGACTGACGGAACTCTGTCGTTTAGCGAAGGACCGAGAAAGTAACGAAAGAGATTACAAGCTGATGATGATGATGTACAGTTTATGAAGAGCAATGTGACACTGTTTTGAGATGTGAATAACAGGTGAGTTTAAACAGCATAAGTAGTTTTCCCCGCCACCAGAAATTGGACAAGCGCATGTATGTGGAGATGTCGTAAGCCTCTTTCCCTGGCTGGCGTTTTCTCCCTTTTGGCTTCTACTTTGGCTGCCACCGTCATTTTGCACTAGGACGCTAAGAAAACCTTGAAATATTCAAGTTGCTGAATTTGAATTATTAAATTCGCTGCCCTTGGAAAAGTAAAAATTACATTTATGACACAATCCATTTATCCAGACAGATTAGTACAAGTGTTTATGCTCTGGATACTTACTGTTTCGTGCGCTACTTTTAGCGATGTCTCGAACAAAGGATCAACAACATCTGTGACTGTCCGAAGCAGTAACGTTCCTATAGACGACATGGAGGATCTTCTCTTAGCATGTTCTCCAATTCCTCCAAAGCTTATATTAAGAAGAAACGCACTGAAGACAGGGGAAACATATTCCAGACTTCTCAGCAAGGCCTCTAGCTGAGACGAACATTTTTTCTTTTTCTTAACTAAAGCTGCTTCTGTTAAAGACGATATCTTTGTTATGTAGTTTTTCACGATTTCGCCACAGAAGATGTTCCAAATGCTGGTGATTTGACCAAAGGGAAGTCCCTGGATGGCTTTACTGAATCTGCAACACAAAAACAATTTAACCACTCCCCTTGTAAGAAATGTTAAAGATGGACTACCATAAAACAGATACGGACTACCATCTACAAACGATAGTAGATCATGAATACGGACGCTCATATCTGGTCAACTTCCTGTTTATAACATGAATGCATCTCAAGTCATGTGCACGGCAGCCCTCTGAGAATCAATATTATGTCCCAGAATGTTACAACTATGATGAGCGGGATTGTTGTTGTTGTTGTTGTTGTTGTTGTTGTTGTTGTTGTTGTTGTTTTTTGTGAAAGAGAAAAACAAACTCACTCACTTTTGGTTGAAGAATGGTTTCAAACCAGATTTGGAAACGTCCAGAGCTCTCATGGAGACCAAGACTGCCGAGACAAGTTTCTCAAACTGGATGAAAATAAAATTATTTTACAATACAGTTGAGATCACACGAAGAAAGTAAACTATACACTACAGTCATGCAGAAGTTTAAATTTAAATACGGCACGGCACGGCGCGGCAAGGCACGACAACTGACGGTAGTGTGTTGGTAACATGTCGGCCGACAGGTTACTGACAGCCAAAAATGGGAGCCATTGTTCACTAAAGAACAGAGCACACGTATGCTCTCTACATGTATCTCTTTCCCGCTGAAGAGACGACAACCCAAAACGCCCGTATTTATGACGTTCCTTGCAGTTCTAGAGAAATTTAGCTTGAAAATTCAAAATCCACACTCCCAATAGGATACAAAACACTGATCTCTGTACCGTGGCATGTACATGTATACAATCAACATTGAGCTTTCAGGGGTTGGCTTAAGTATCAGATCTGAAGTCCTTTTTCCTCCACCCACCCTCTTACTTTCGAAAAGTTTGATATTCAGGCTACTTAGGGGTATTACCTAAGACCCTCCAAGAAATCTCAGGTGCAAGCGTGGAAAAAATTTTGAGCGCGAAGAGATTTTGTAAAGACTACCCCGATCAGGCTCAAACCCACACCTCCCCATTCAGAATCTACATGTAATGCAGCAACTTAACAGTATTAAGCTAGCATGAAAATAACAGTAAAGGAACCCCTGCCAAAGTTGATAAATTAGAAAAGACATCGGTCAACTCTTGCCTAGTTCCTAGGCCTTAGCATTTCGCCTCGGTTAATCGTTTTCGGGTCACATGGTCCGAGGCGAAAAGAGCCGTTCGTCTCGGATACGCCGCCGAAATCAATTGATCGTGAAGGCCTAGGAGAAAGCCGTAAATGAACTAGGCAAAGTTAACTCTGGGGAGACCCCAAAGAAGTCCTTCAAAGCCATATTAATGATGATGCGAATTGTGCGAAGCTTAAATTACTGAACACAGCATACCTGTCGTAACTGAACATAAGTGGAGATGAGAGAAGACATCAAGGATTTTTGCGCAGCAGGAGTTGCGCCTCTTGTTTTCCAAAGCATTGTCCATATCACCTCTAAGTGTGGCTCAAGCAAGGAATGATTGAGTTTCAAAAGAACATCAAGGCACTTGANGATCAACAGGGTTCTACTGCACTCCTATATTTTCAGGTAATTTCAGGCATGGCCACTAGCCATTGGATTATACATTTTGGGGGGCATGTTACATGTATGCTACCCACCTGGTAAATGTCATAATTGAGAATGCATTCCAGCAACTGATGGAGCAAAGTAATGATAGAAGACATAACATGTCTGCACCTGCCATTTAGTACACTCATCAGCTGACAGATTTCACTGAAAAAGTCAAACTCCATTGCTGATGTGGATGAATGTTGTTTTCTGAAAGATAACACATAGAAATAGTAATAAAGGTCATGATAAGTAAATCACAAAACTTTAGGCTTACATAATTATTATTATTTTTTAATATTCAAAATAAACTTCTTTGAATATTATTATAAAAAAACCCTTAATGTTTTGATTTGTAAAATCAATGCCACTATTACCCAAAGAAAAAACGATCATTTTCATTATCATGGTAACTGCGAAACAATTTGTAATAGTAATTGGACCGAGTGGAGTACAATTCAGGGGGAAATGGTGCAAGTAATTTCAAAATCGAACGAGGGCGAAGCGCAAGGCCAATTTGAAATTATGAGCATGATTTATCCCAGAATTGTACAACACGAGGTCCAATTACTAATTAATCATATCTATAACAAATTTCGGAATTAAAAATGTCTTTTAAAAACTTCTTTTGAGCAAACACATCTGTAGCGCTTTTCATAAGTTTTGAAAACTGTAGGAAACATTGCGAAGGAAGCCATTAAAGCGTGCGTANCATTTCCCACAACTTCTCAAAAAGAAGCCTTGGATAGCTGTAAATTCTTGGTTTCTTGCTGGCAGGCTCATCAGAATTAATTATTTTTTCCTCTTGTACCTTTAAGGCCTGTGGATACTCTGACATGTGATCCCTGTAAAAGATTTTAAAAATAAATAAAACTACAGACAGAGGAAAATTGTGTACAGCTCGAGAAGATTTCTCCACTGTCAATTCTCCAGCTTGAAAATAATAATTATTATGTACCTCAATTTCGCCAAGTCTATAATGGTATTTGACAGTACAACTCTGCAGATCTGCTAGGCTAGGACTCTGCAGGCCAGCAAAGATATGAGTCTGGCCAAGGGTGAATGCAGAAGCCAGGAACATTATTATCAATGGCAACACACAGATATTCTTTCCAATTTTTTCTCTCTCAGGGAGGGCAGCTTTATAGCACAGCCTACAAATCTGCATGCCTGAAAGTCTACTGGAGTTATTTAATGTAAGCCTGCCTCAAGTCAGTAAATATGGAGGCCTGCAAAGTCTATTTTTATGTACATGTATGTAGACCCACAGAAAACATGTACGCTGTATGACATTTGCAGATTGTAAACTGCAGATTACATTTACGCCTAAATACATGTAGCACTCTGATAATTGCCTGCATAGCAATCCAATTAGCTGAATATCACTCAGGTTAGCCTTAATATCTCTCAGGTTAGCCTGTTTAGGGTTAGTTATATAGCTCTCAGATATGAAAATGTGAATACAGTACTATTAGTTAAAAACTCTAAAGCTGGCAGTCAGCAAATTACACAGATCTATGTTCAAGTTAGGTCTACATGTCAGCAGCTTCTAAGCAGGCAGGTCTACAAGTCAACAAGTTTGCAGCAGTGCAAGTGGTGTCTACATGCATCCAAACACCTGCACATCTGATATGTGTAGGTCTGTTCACACTGTTTGTCGGTGAAATATTAATTTCTGACTAATATCTTACTTGTGAAAGAGAGATCTTGCTAATGCTAACTCCACCAAATTAGTGATACCTTGGGTCTTTCTTACATGCCAGTTCTCTGACTGATCTTCACGTTGATCCGTAATGGAATTCCTGAGCTCCACAGTGTCCTCAAACATATGATGCAAGATGACTAATGGCTCAAGAAGTTGTTGGCACATGGATGTAAAAACCTACAGAAGGACAAGTACATGTAGACGTAAAAATTGATCCATAATATATACAGAATACATGTACATACAATCTTGAAGGTAGCATTAATTATTATTTATTTTGTAAACATATACATGTACATGTATATGCACCTGTACAGCAAAGGTGCTAACAGTATAACAGCAACTCTAAGTTATTCAATGTGTATTTGTTAATTCATAAAATCAGTTTTGTTACCAGCAAGATCATTGCATACCTTCCGTTGATTGGCTTGCTGTCTTTGAATAAAGAGATACTTTTCTAAGCAGACTTGTACCAACAAATGAAGCTCTTTGGATTGCTCCAGACATATTGGTACAAAAAAGGATAGTAATGCTGACAAGAAAGACACCTAAAATAGAGCAAAAAGGTATTAGTAAAGATTACAAATGCATGCACAATTGTACAGTTGAACCTCTGCTACTGGATGTGTTCTGTAGACAGACAGCACTAGTAGGTAGAAGGATACCAAGTCATAGCCCCAGTCACATAAAAGCACTCCATTTTTAACCTACGTGTACCTTAGCGAGGTTATCATTTGCATGTCAAAAGTTATTTGGGTTTGCAGATACTACACTAAAATCCTTAAACAACTTGCACCACTTTTTCATCCAATCAGAAGTTAAACCAAAACCAATCATGACTCGTTCACACACGTTTACCTCCACTTTGCGTCAGCTACATGTAATTACTTTGAGTTTTGAATGGTTCACTGTATTGTCTGATGTGTGTCCTTTGTGATTGGATAGTAAGAGTGATTATATATGCTTTAGTTTTGGTTTCACAACACTTAATAATTAGAAACCACTCTAAGCAAACATCTCTCCTACCATATAGATACAATGTGAATACTTTTACACCTCACAAGTCAGGGTATATGTACATTTGAATATGCTTACTGGAGGTTTGACTGTACATGTGTTAATAGACCATATTCGTATTCCTGGCATTGGACTGGAACTAGCTTGCAACTGAGGCTAATGCGTGGAGTCTTTTCAAATGCAAATGACATTAATCTCTTTTTAATGATATTCCCCCACATGAGCCTCCATTGCAGGCTCGTTCAAGTCCAAACGCGAGAATACAAATATGGCCCATTGAAGGATTAAAACACGGAAAGCATACGCGTTAATTTACAGTTTACATGGCAGTAACAATTTATAACCAACTCCGCATCTTTGTACCCAACATAAATGTTATGAATTTGGAACTACTCATAAATAAGGCATCAACCTAAATACTCACATAACTTTCAAATTTGGCCAGCACAGAGGCTGCAAGTTGAGGAGTAGACATAACAGCATAACAACACTCAATGATGATATTGATAGAGCTTCCATTGTGAACAGGATCTGTACATAAAAATATGTCTGCAAATACCTAAGAGCAATTAAGACTTCAAGTTATACATGTACAGGTCATGTAACTTACAATTTAATTAATATGTATTTACTTTAAAAAAGTGACAAAATTTTCACAGCAGCTATGAATTAGCATGCTACAACTAAGATGTGTATTATTTACAAACCTGTATAAGTTGTGGTTTGAGGGTAATGGAATGTTTTGATTCAGCAAAAAGGTCTTTGCTCTTTAAAGCATGAAGCAGCAATTCCCACAAACCATTTAACACATCATTATTGCCTTCTCTGTGAAGCAAATTCATAGACTTTAGGGTTGGGTAAGACAGTCAACTTCCATGGATGTACTTTAAGTTCTCCCATATGCAACATGTAAGGCTTACAACACTACATTGTATGCAACACAATTTGCATATTACAGTAAATTATTGTCAAATTCAAACCTGCAATTTGATCAGGATAATGGTTTACATGTTCATTGTATATATAGTCACAAAGAGGACAACAGGGCTAGTCAGTAGACTGTATGGTGCCCATTAAATCATGCAGTCACTTATTAGTTAGTACACATACATGTAATATACATTGGATAGCAAGCCTCAACAGGTTTGAGTTTGAGTGGCTGCAGATAATTTTGTAAGTCATGTTCTTTGAAAATGTGCTTTACTGTCACATTATCTTAAAGAGTAATGTCTGTTCAAGGTAATAGATTTATCAAATATCAAAGTGCAAGTTATTATTAATAAAATAATAACCTTATTTGTTCAATGAGTGATTACAATCAGAAAAAAATTATCAAAGCACTAGCAAACTGTTGTGCAGCCTCGGTAAATATACATTGAAGGTGGGTAGGGATGGAGGGGATAAAAGACTAAAGTTGATGTTGTCAGCTCTTACTGTACTCCTTTTTTGTATCCGTTAAGAATTTCTTGCACAGTCCAGTCAAGAAGAACTTTCTGTTTGTTTGGAATCACACAGTCAACAGAATCCCAAGCATTCTTTGCTAGTAACAACTTCTCATCCCAAACAACTGTGGAGTCTTTTAGCTTGGAATAGATCCCTGTAACAATACATGTATATGTCGCAATTATCACTCTCTTAATTAGTAGCAGATAGCATCATCTAGACTGAGATCATAACTGCTCATCAGTCATTTTACTTTCGTAAACTTTAAAAATGTTTAGCATCTCAAGTCACTACAGGTCTGATTAACATACAATTACATGTAAGGTTATCTTTCCATCATTCCCTCCTGAACATAATTTTCAATACAAACTGTTCTTGTGCAGAGTATTGGAGAAGTTGGAAAAAAAAACTAACAAAGCTACAATCCATGTTCTGTTCCAAGGCCGTGTTTCAGGTGTACATGTACATGCACTTGGTGATATCTTTTGAGAAAGTAGGATAGGATAGGAAGCCTTTATTTCAACATGATGAGTTTTAAAGCTAAAAGCTTGTGGGGTCGTGTATAAAATGAGTGAGAATATTCAAGAATGTTGTGGTTCTGTCCTCGTATACCGCTACACAAGAACCGATACAAAAGACCCAACAATACACACCAGCTAATCTAAAGAGAAGCTCATAACGAAAGGTAGTACAATGGTCATTCCCTCAGTGTGCCGGACTACCGGTACACCAGGCCGGATTATGGATTTGTTCAAATGCGTGCACACGTGTTAGCAGACAAAGGCAACTTCAGGGTTTTTGCTGCTGTATCTGCCAAAATGGCACAATGCATCATTACCTTTCAAACTTGACTTCATTATTCAGCGAGAAAATGCACTCTTGGGACAACTAAAGTGTTTCCTACGTTCATATAAACTCCTATTTATGCACGGCCAGTTCGTCCGCCATAGTTAATCACGACCGAGGAATAGACTGGGTAGAGTTACATGGGTATGTACATGTGCTACCGCTGTTCACTGCTGTTTCCTCGCGGGCGATCGAGGTCACGCAAATGCTGAAAGGGTCTGGTCTCGGGTTTGGTAACAATTTGTAACAACACCCCACAACACGGAAGAGAGTCGGATGAGTGAACGAAACAGCCTCACACCATGTCAGGTTTTACTTATATCATTGTTATTGGCTTTGCAATTTTTGGCATTCATCATTGGTTAAAGAATAAACATTATCTTTTTGAGCCAGAGGATATTGCAAAGATAGCAAAGCGGCATGTGGGAAACGGTAAGTGTTTAGAATCAATGTATCACCCTTGTCACAAGCGTACTAAATTATGGCGCAGACAGAGACTGCAGACAACCTGTGGGCCTAAATAGCGCTCTGAGCAGCCTGAATATTACTCAGGGTAGCCTGAATAGCACTCAGATTAGTATTGTAGCTTGTTTACGGTTAGTTCTCGGTAAAGGATTTTATTTAAGTATGCATGCAGTCTGCAAAATGGTGATTTCTATAATCAATTATATTCTTCATAGACCAAAAGCAAAGCATAAATGCAAAGTATACAAAGATCGCATTGGAACTTGAACAGAAGTATCCAGGTCATATCCTGTCTGAGGGGGCTAGAGAATGGCTGTTCATGAATGCAGGTGGCTGGACAGGATCTGTTTACATATTACATGCATCTGTTACTGAATATGTACTGTTCTTTGGTACAGCAGTTGACACACAGGGATACTCAGGTATTATGTGTGATAAGATTATAATTTAAGGTGAATTTCAGCAAGCCCTGACATTTTCCTCTTGAAACTTTGAAACACTTTTTATACCTAATCATACCTGGTCAAGCCATGGTTCATATTGTGGCCAGACGTAGACTAGCCAAAATACCCACAGCAAGTCCAAATGAGCCTGATATGCTGCCAAAGTGTACCAAAAAGATACGATTAGGTATTTACCGTGCCCAAATTTGGCCAAGATAATCATAGCCAAAGCAGGTCAGTGACTTGATATCACAAGATACTAGGAGACATGGCTTCTGATTGGCTAATTGCAAATTTGGGTATAGAAGACAGAATAACCAACAGCGCTCCCTCCCTTCGTAGTTTTGGAGCACAGAGGGCCAGCCTTTGTTCTGGGACCCCTGTTATCAAGTGTGAAACCTAGGTCTATATCCTCATTTCCTCTCCTCTGCACCCCCACTCCCCTTTTGAGCATCTCCCTAGCTGCAGGTTCAGTTTTGAGCCCTGAAGGATCATCCTGAATCAAAGTGATTTAAAAAACTGGTATGAGACGGGCAAGAATAAATAAGTTGTAAATTTGATGACTTCGAACTATCTCAGAATTTTTAAAATCACTCTATTATCCTGTTTGATTTAATTGTAGCTAATGTGTGTTGTCAGAATTACTTAATTACTTTATGTTATTCGTTTTCCCAAAGTAAGTAAGTAACACCTGGTGTAAATAAGTAATGTACATTGTAGTATTGGAGTAGCCATACCAGAGTACTTTGTTATTGTAATTTGCAATTTGTAATACGTGTAATTTATTAAGACATGTTACTTTAAATGAAAAAAAAAAAAAGAAAAAAA